CAGGGGCTGTAAAGGGATCCAGGTTCCGCCCAATGCTCCAACCGGTCCAAGAGTGCCATGCTGATAAGTAACTCTTTCGTGTTCCAGGAGCCCAGGAGTCCCATAGGAGGTCCTTAGTTGTTGCCGATAGGTTTCCGGTACACCATGCTCTCCTGAAAGATTACAGGCTATCAGCGATAGGCGTCCGTCTAGGAGCATCGGGTGTGTCTCCCCCATTGGGTTTCTGAGTAGGTTGTAGTCGATCGGTAGTAGGATTGGATCCTGCCAAGCCAGTTCGAGCAGGTCCGGGAACCAAGGTTGGCTCGGCCAGTTGGGTGTCAGGAGAGTTAGTCTCACTACCCGTCGTCGAACATGATGGAGAACCCTCGCGATCATGGCGAATGGGGGAAAAGCTTAAGCTCCTCATGGAGGCCATTGTTGGGTGAAAGCGTCTACCGCCATGCATTCCGGGTCTAGAAGCCAGCTGTAAAACTGTGGCACTTGGTGATTGTTGCATGAGGCAAATAGGTCCAGTATGAAGGGCCCCATCTGTTCGTTCAGGAGGGCAAATATCTGTGGGTCCAGTTGCCAATCGCTGACGTCTCTCCAGTGTCGGGATTTCAAATCTGCCGTACGATTCGACTCCCCTGGCAGGTATTCTGCTTGTATCGTAATGTTGCGTGGGAGACAGTAATTGAAGATTTCCTTCGATAGCTCCACCAGTGTTTGGGAGCGTGTACCGCCAAGGTGGTTGATGTATCTCACTGCCGATATGTTGTCCATCTGAAGAAGTATACAACAATTGGATTGTCCTTTCGCCAGACTGCGTATAGCGAATGACCCCTCTAGCAGTTCCAGGCAGTTGAGAGTTCTTGGGTTGTCCATGTTCCTTCCGTGGATGCTTCCCCATCCGTGTCGCCCTATTCCCAATCAGCTGGCGTCCGATTCCAGCACGAAGTCCGGGTGGGTGCCAAAGATGGCTCGGCCGTTCCAAGCTTGCATACAATTGAGCCACCATTCGAGTTCCTGATGTACCTCGTTCGTTAGCGGGTACGTAGAGTTTCGTCGTAGGAAGCGGGTTTTCAATTGTTGCATGGCCCGGTAGTGTAGAGGGCATGGAAATATGGCTTGTATCGAAGACTTGTAAATGATGCACCTGATCCCACGAGTCCTGAGATGAGAGACTACTGGTTTCAACATCTTCGTAAAGCACCACGGTGCCAAGCTCAGTCCGAAGGGGAGACAAGTGAATTGCCAGGGAGCGCCGTTCCATAGAAATCAGAGAAGAGGGCGGCTGTCCGGGATTGATAGATATGCATTTTTGAGATCCAGACATGTAAACCAGTCCCTGTCTTGAAGGAGGTCCCTTAGTAAGTCTATGTCCTCCATTTTGAAGTGGCGGTAGGTCACGTGGGCATTCAACGCTCTTAGATTGATAACTGGTCTGAAGTCTCCGGTTTTCTTGCGGACAAGGAACATATTGCTGAAGAAGCCTCCCGTCCCTGAACGGGCTGTATGGCACCCTTCGCATGCAGTCCGCGGAGCTCCATTTCTATGAGGTGCGCGTCTGAGGTTGAGAGATATAATGGGTGTGGAGGACATTCCTGTACCGGGGTCGTACATAATTCGATGCGGTCCCCTTTTACCGTCTGTAGAACCCAGGCGTCTGTGGATAGCTTTGCCCAGTTCTGAGAAAAAAGAGAAACACGGCCTGCAGACATGGTTAGTTGGGACATAGTTAGGGGTTGTTTTCTTACCTGTGGGAAGTCTTGCGCAGGCTCATCCGCGACCTACACGTCCTCTGTCCGTACCCCTCTGATAGTAGGGCTAGCTTTGTCGAGAGCCTGCGTCTTGGTAACCCTGTTGTGGGTAAAATTGTTGTGGGTGTCCCGTGCAGGGGCCCGATGGCCAGAATCGGCTGGTGGCACGGCCCCATTGCCGACCAGCCCTGGGAAAAACACCTCTTGTGAGGTTGCCACGGAAAACCTTGTGCATGGATGAACGGGCTCTGTTTAGTGAGGTGAAGACATTGACATGTTTGTTGAGCTCTTTGAGGAAGGCCTCCCCGAAGTGCTTGCCCTGTGGCTGTGGGCCCAATTCTTTAACCCCTAAATCCGCTAATTTGGGGTCTATGCGGAACAGTGCTGCACGGCGCCGCTCTGTGGAGAGGGCCGCATTGGTATTCCCGAGAAAACAGAAGCTTCTCTGGGTCCATTCTTGGATGTCGTGTGCCCACTCTCTTACCATGTCCGCATTAAAAGAGTCCGCCCTGGCATAGGCATCATCCGCCAAATACATTACACGGGCCAAAGGACCCATCGTGTCAAGGAGCTTGTCTTGTGCCCCTTTTAGACTCCTCTCTATCCCTCTGCGGGGGTCCCGACCGCCCTGCTCCATGAATGTCAGCATAAGCTGATCGAACTCAGGTGTGAAGGCTACTTTATCGGGTAATGATAGTCTTGGGCATTCCGCTCTCATCCGCTTGCGTACGTGTTTCTCTAGGGGCTTGCGGATCCAGAAATGCATAAACCTGAGGAGGTGCTCAGGTGGGGCCCATTCCCCAGAGCGGGGATGCCGGATAGTTCTGGGGTCGAACATCTTGTACCCCGTGGTGTCCAGGAACACCTCTTGATCCTGCGTGATGGTTGAGGCGGAAGCTTCTTCGTCTCCTTTACCCTGGGGCTCACCCAGGAAGGTCTCCGTGACGTAGGCGTTAGAGCCCCAATCGCCTTCGTCCAAGTCGGAGATGTCCGCCTGCCATTCATCAAGAATGGACAGGGAGTGTGGCATGTCGTTTTCCTCATCCGAGGAGATTTGGTGCAATAAGGCATTTACTGCGTTTCAGGGGCGCCTTGCCTTTATTGGTGGCTTTTTTAGATACCTTGCCCTTCCAGTGGCGTTTAGCCGGGCGGTGTTTCTCCTGAGAGGTGTTGTCCGACGCCTCGGAGTCTTCTTGATCACGAGGTTGTCTATTAACCGGCTTGTTAGTTTCAGTGGCCAGTGCTAGTACTTTTGCCATTGCCTTCTCCAAGGAAGCGACCACTGCCGCATTAATCATGGCTTGGAGGTCGTTTGCATTCTGATTATCCTCCATAGTGAGGGCACTGACAGGCACAGGATTGTCTATAGATATGTGGGAGTTGGATTGTGTGGGAGGGGATTATGACAGGCCGGTGGCCATACAATTGTCGCCAGTGGCGTCCGACAAGCGGACTCTGTAATACTGGGGCTCACCCAGTCGGTCAGAACTGCTTGAACAGATTCCGCTAGGCAGCACTGTGGGATCTTCCACTAGCCAGGTTACTGGGTATAAAACCTAACTGGCTGTCCCACTCCGTAGGGTTATAACACCCACCTTGTACACTCCAACCGTAGGCACTTCCAGCTGTCAAAAGGCCTCCTGGTATGAGCCTTGTAGTGATGTGATTTGGACTTCCACAATAGCACTCACGAAATGGCCGCCGCGGTGAACAGGAAGAAAAAAGCCCGCGAAGGCAAACGGCTAGAAAAACCCCACAGGCGTTCGGTAGAAACTCACGAATGGTACAGTTCGTGGGTTGCTAAGCTGCCGAACTCCCGTTGAGGGAAAAGCCGCGAACGGACTGGATTATTATATGAACCCAGTCCGTTCACGTGAATGCATTGGGGCTACTTAGCGTTCGTGGGTGTGGGCGCGAACAGAGCGCATACGCTCCGTTCACGTAATTGCTGCAGGACGCACAGAAACCTTGAGCTAGCCTGCTCTGTTCGTGCGAAGAAGTGCACGAACAGAGTGGTAAGCCCTACATCAAAGTGGCGAAGTTAGCCACGCGAGGATTGAGAGGGGAGGGAGATGAGGCTACCCGTCTAGCAGAGCTGAGGTGAAGCAGGGGATCCCTGGAACGGTGAATCCGTTAAAGTGGTACCCCCAATGAGTGTCCCTCTGCTACCCCCCAGTATCTGTATAACAGTTGTAGCAAACTAGGCATGTAATACCTTTGACATACTAACATGTACATAAAAGACAGTTAAGGAAGTATTACTCTGACCTGACTTGTGATGGAGCAGCCAAGAAAGAGGAAATGATTGGCTAGGCTGGAACTTATATACTCTCTGACTCAAGCTGATTGGTTCTTTCTTTAAACTGTTTTTTCTTTTCTTTGCTGCTGTGGAGTTAGTAAAGAAAGTTAATGCAAAATATGAAGCCTCCTGTCATGTGGTAAAATTAGCTAAGATTCTCGATGATCTCAGGCAAGGAGTCGGGATGGCTGTGCGGAGACCAGCTTTGAAGAGGAGAAAAGGTAAGTAAAATAAATAAAATTTTCACTCATTACAGGTGGGGGCCAGGGACCAAAACAGCCATCATGGTACTGTAGTGTTAGGCATAAACATTTATATTCCTAAAGCACTAGAGTTCCTTTAATCCCTTTCTGGAGTTATTTTGGAGGAGTGCTAAAAGAGGAGCAGTAACCATGGAAACTAATATAATGTTCCAGGGGTGCCGATTGCCCCCACTCTTAGATCTTTGCATCAGAATTATTCGTTATACATAATCTACAAATAATTCTACAAATGATGGTGAACAATAACTTCCAAAAAGTTTAGGAAGATAGACAATAACTCAGTCGGCAGTATAATATTTTGTCTCTTTCAACCTGATCACACGATGGGAGATGCTAATCGCAGAAAGCACAAGCTCATATTCCAGAGTGTAAAAGCAATGCCCTGAGTGCTCCAGTCTATGACCCCCTCCCCGGGTGCTCCTGTGAAGACTCCCTCCCATGGGTGCTACTATTAGTGTTCCGCCCCGGCTGCTCACTGGTCCAGATATTAAAGCTCAGCCCTAAGCAGTGGGTGTGTTTGCCTGGAGTTCATTGACAGGAGCTCAGAGGGGACATGGGGTCACATCCCAGGGAGCTGCAGGCCGGTTCACACGGTACAGAGGTAAGAGAAAATGTAGCCTGTGCCCCTTGTAAAGCTTCCCCCAGGTCTAGCGATCCCCAGACAGCGAGGGTAGGGTAAAATAGTGCGAAATAAGGACACTTTGAAGGGCATTAATCAGCGCTTTGAAGCATACCCTTCAGAATAAAACCAACATTCTACTGATGGAATTAAAGCGGGGATTCGAATTCCTCCAATTTTTACTGAGACCCAACGCCCATCACCTCCGCCTGTCTTCAAGTGATGCGAGTTGTAGTCCAGCAGTGGATGGCAAACCGCCCCCTGGCCCTGTAAAGAAGGTTTCTGAGTAATTGCTGGTACTAGTTGTGCAGTTGGGAGAGTTAAAGGAGGGAGGGGGACACAAAGAACATGGCGAGGGACGCTGCAGGCTGAGCCTGTCCTGTTTTATTGCCCAGAAAGCCTGTCTGAGGGGCTGTGATGACAGGTCAGGCTACCCCCCATCCTCCTCCATGGGCTGGGAGCTGGAGTGTGACCCATGCCGTTTGCCCTTCACTTGCCTGCTGGTGAGTGACCTTCTACTTTACCCGCTTTAGAGAGCATGATCGGGGATGTGGCATTGACTGCTCTGTTAATCTATGCAGGGATTGCTGGGCTGCCTGCGCGTTTTATTTTTTTTATTTTTCCTTCCTAAGACAAACGCCTTTAGAAACAGGAAACCGTGATTTTTTTTTCAAGTTGGCAAAACATTGTTTGTTTAACCACAAAACAAGTATAAGTGTAATATAAATAATAAAACAAATCAAATAAAAATACTTAATGAAACTCCAGGAGAAAGAAATGCATGACATTCTTCATGGCTGAATTAATTCTTGTATACTTATTGTATATTCATAGAATGTAAGATATTTTTATCACCCCCCTCAACACTCAGGATTATTTTTTTTCTCTTCTCACAGACAACTGCAAACCTTTTTCCCCCCTTATAGAGGGCATACATACCCAGAGGGCATACGTTTCTGTGTCTACAGTTTCCTCTTGCAACAAAGCCTGTAATTTTATTGTATTGCTTGACATATTTAAAATGTAGTGTGATTAAGACTCAATGAGGAGATTTGTAATTTCAAAAATATATCCAGGTAATTTAACGTTGACATGTTTGGTCTATAAAATGTTTGCAAAGTACATGTAGGCTTTGATTTTTCTATACTTGACACGTTTTTACACCAGTGTTTATTTGTTGGGTATTTGCCTTTTTCCTTCAGATTTTTGGAAAAATTTGTCAAAGTATTTATCAGAAAAGTGGAACAAAGTTGGGGGGAAAGTGTGCAAGTTGCCATGGAAACAAAATAATTTTTAACATTCTTTAAGTTTTTTTTCTGTTCTAACCAAAATACTAGTAAAGACCTAAAATAAAAAAATTCTAGTGTGATTAAAGGATCACTGTAAGCACTATACAGCCTACTATAGTGATTATTGTGCCCTGGCCCTGGCCCTATCCCATGGTAAAATGTCAAACCATTTTTGCATGATTTGCCAACTTACCTTGGTCTCTCTGCACACCAGCACTGCATCCTGTCTTCTCCAGAAGAAGCAGAATTGCTATATATAACAAAGCATGGCTGCTTTCATTGATTGTCAGCTTGGGATGTTCCTTTAATTCAAGGTAATATTTATTCTAATAAGTGACCAAGATATTGCAGTTAATACCATATGTGCAGCAATCACCTCACAAATCAGATTCCAACAAAAGGTACAGTAATGCCATAATTTACATGTGCGTTAAGATCATTTTTTTTAGATGCATTGCGCGATTAGCTTGGCATGGTTCCTGGGCATGGTTCCTTGACATGGTTCTTAGATCACTTTCCTAGAATGGGGCTATAAGGTAACAATGTTCAGTGGAACACATAAGAGAGCCATTGTGACAAGGCACATCTTAATAAAGTATATTATGTCTAAGGGAAAGGTTGGCATGGGACAATTGCCACTAGCATACAGATTGTGTGTGCTCTATCACCTGATCACATTTTATTGATTAAAGTCAGAGCAGTCCTGAATTATGCAAGACCTTTGCATTGCCCAGCATGGTGTGGGTTTGTGCTTGGGCTGGTGGCCTGTAATCTTGGTGTTCTCCAGGGATGGACTGGCTCACTGCAATGTTTTCCACTGTAGCATGTGGAGCCAACCAAGATTCCAGACTATGAGTAAATGGAGATATTTACATTTGGCTGTGGGGTTAAATGAGACATTGGTGTCATTGGAGTCACACTAAAGAGTCTAGAATTTGGGCATGCACTAATTTCTGTGAATGCTCCCTTGATGCTGCAAAGGGCATAGTGATGGCATTTGCATACATATCATGTCACACCTTGGTGACTCAATCACCTGCCATCTGTCAAATTGATGTACTGTTTGCACAGTGAGGATCATGCATATTTGTGGCAAAGAAAGTCATTTATTTGTACTTGCACCCATGTCAAAACTTGCCCGTACCCCCTAGAAGTGCCTGAGCAGTAGAACAATGTTCTATGTGTTTGTTTTTATATACTACTGTATTGACATGGTAAGTACAGTTTACATGGCGTACATAAAATGTATGATTTAAAATGTTTAGTTTGAGGGTTTTTCTCCCTCCACAAACCTAATTCTGATTGTTTTTCCAATTTGCTAAGTTTAGGTTAATTAAATAGATGTGCAAGTAGTTCTGACAAGGCTGATCATAAAGTCACTCTAACCATTTTATTTATTTTTTATATCTTGTAATATTTAAAGGAACACTCCAAGCACTATAATTACAGCAGCCTGCTTTATTGATTATGGGGCTAGTCCATTTCGCCATTCCAGTGTACTGTATGGTTTGACACATTACCTGGGCTCCTCTGGCACTTATGCCAAACTGGTCTTCTTAGTAAACCTAACAGGGTTCTCCTGCATGAATCTGGAAGCATGGGCTTGAGCCACTATCACCCAGTAAGACCCAGGTAAGTTATAATACAGTTCTAAAATGGTTTGACAGATTACACTGGAAAGGTGCCAAGGCACTCCTGACACCCCAACTACTACAGGGATATGTAGTGATTAATGGAACACTATAGTCCTGGTGTGGCATTTTAGGTAAATGGCCCTGCTCCGATCAGTCTTGATTATCTCAGCCAATCCAATGCTTTCCCATAGGAAAACATTGGGAGGCTTTTGCAAATGCTCGGTAAAATGCTGCTCCAATCATCATGTCCTTATAGAGATTCTTTGAATCAATGTAATCCTTTAAAAAAAAAAAAGCCTTCCTCTTACATTACATATTACATATCTCAAATCAGAGCATCTTCATTTTTAGATTTCTGCAGTACTGTTTCATGCGTAGATCTTTCTCCTTGACCAGTGACAATGTATGTCATCTTAACAAGCTTTCCCTTTAAGTTCTAATTTATGAATGGAATGTCCGACTCCATTAAAAAAGCTCTATGGAGCTATCAAAGACAAATAAGGACAGCATTTTATACTAGCATTTCGGGACCCAAGTTGGACGATTTCACAATGCAACATTAAGTCCGAGAGGAGTGTAGCAATATTTAATCCATTACAGAGCTAATTTGCTCACAATCTATCTATCAAAATAATCTCCTAAAAGGACAAACTGCAGACATCACAAACAGAGAAGAATGAAATGGCAGATATTGAGATCCAGCGCGAGAAAGCAAAGGTAATAAATTTAGTAAAGTTACTAAACCTCTCTATGACGTTCAGATGTGTACTAAATGGATCGAACTGTATGTAACACCTAGCGTTAATATTTTACTTAAAAGGGGAACTGTCACTTCTCTGGCTTTTTTATGTTTACTTTTCCCTCTGTGTATTTAATAAATATGTATTTGTGAAGTGCGGAAATGCAAACCTCTTAGTCCTGCCTCCATCTTGGCTCCCTGTCGGTCACTGTTATAAACTTTGCCTTTTTATAACTGGCAGTCAGCATAGAGAAAGTATATAAAGAAGAGGCGATATGAAACCATGACTTCTATTTATCCTGCTCATTTGTAATGTGGGCCTGCCTATGGGTGGACGGATTTGGATTGTAATGAAATTTGCCAAATCTTTACTATAAAGGAAAACTTGGGGGAGAATAAAATCACTATATAGGAGATTTTTCATTGTTTGTCTTTTGTCAATTTCCAGAGGATTTTTCTGTTCTCTTATAAAAGGCATTCAAAGCACTGTAACCGCTACAGTTTTTATTGTGGTTATGGTGCTTGATGGTTGTAGATTAAACTATTTCAAGTTGTTTTCAGTCGTTACAAGTGCTGTTTTGTTTCCACATTACTGACTTAAATTCTTTGTTTTTTCACTTACTTTACTTTGCTTAAAGGATCAATATAGGGTCAGGAACACAAACATGTATTCCTGCCCCTATAGTGTTAAAACCACCATCTAGCTCCCCCTTGTCCCCTCATGCCTCCATAAATATAGCAACATTTTACTGTATTCAAGCCTGAAGCTGTAGCTCTGCATGCTGTTTGCATAGAAAAAAAACAAGCAGTCTGCTGACATCACAATGCTTCCCCATAGGATTGGCTGAGACTGACAAGGAGGCAGATCAGGGGCAGAGCCAGCATGATTCAAACACAGCCCTGGCCAATCAGCATCTCCTCATAGAGTTGAATTGAATCAATGACTCTCTATGAGGAAAGTTCAGTGTCTGCATGCAGAGGGAGGAGGCACTGAATGTGTTGATGCATTTTAGGCAGCCATGACCCAGGAAGGATCTCTAACAGCCATCTGAGGAGTGGCCAGTGAAGTTATCACTAGGCTGTAATGTAAACACTGCATTTTCTATGAAAAAACAGTGTTTACAGCAAAAAGCCTGAAGGTAATGATTCTACTCACCAGAACAAATTCAATAAGCTGTAGTTGTTCTGGTGACTATAGTGTCCCTTTAAGAAAATGAGTACATATTTTCCCAATATAGAAATTATGTCATGTATTGTCAGTTAATGTATGGTTTATATTTGTTTGGTCATATTATTTTAAATAAAATGTGACAGTTTCTTTTTTTTTTTTTTTTTTGCCAAAGTTGTGACATATTTTTTTTTCTGTTCATATTAGCAAGGATGGATTGAGCTGTGTCATGGAGACTGCCTTTGCAATGGTGAATAAATATATTAGAAATAATTAGAAAATATTATAAATAAATATAGTTATCTTAGCTGCAGCCATTGGCCATGGTTTTTATTTGACTATGTAATATGATATAGTGTTTTATTTTTCAAGTGACTGTTACTCGTTCCCTCAACTCAAGTTGTTTTTTATTTTTTTTTAAATTTTTTTTTTGTTTTTTTTTTACTGGGGTGAATAGAAAAAGAAAACCCCCAAAGCACTCTCCTCTGCTGCCATTCCGCTTTACATTCTCATTTCATCCCATGATGCCTTTGATGT